ATGTTTAACGTTTTACTCATTGATAAACAGTGCTTCATTTTAATTGGTATAGCATTATATGTGCAGTAAATTATACAATAGAACCGAAAAAGAAAGTCAGTTAATGTAGTTTTTCTGTCTCGAAAGACCTCGGCATGTGAAACTTTGATAAATGTTATATCAGACGCAGAAGATATAATTCATATTTGCTAAGATAAAATAGAGCAGTTTTATCCACGAAATGTGCTTGTAGTTCAAGTTCAAAAACCAAATGCCTGGAATTCTTTCTCTTTTTCACTGATGGGAGAAAAAAACATTGTTCAAGACCAAAATATCAATCAAAATACATATAAATGGTTATACGGATTCTTAAGGACGTTCTCACGGTCATGCGCACAAATTTACCGGCAACTGTGTCGGAAGCAATGTGGGAGATTCTATTCTCCATCACTTCCTTCCTTAGGAAATGCATGAAAAAGATTCACATTATTATTCCTGCCAGCATTTCCTTCAAAGAACTGAGCAAGTATCTACTTATTCAATAAAATAATATGAATAGAAGAATAAATAATCATTGCAATAGGAAATATTATTTTCTCTCTGAATTTTTTGGATGAGCATTTATCGTTGTTTACACTATTTATATTCGTACTATTGTTGTTATTACATCTTTCCGGTCTTCCTCGGGTTTATATTGATATATAGACAACGCTAAAGCTCATGTAACTCGCAATAAATCATAATAATCAACTAGATTTGAATGTCAAAGTAAGCACTGAGAGGAATGGTGAGTTAGCTGGCAAATTCTTAACTAGGAACATGCAACTAACGCGGATAAAAATGGGTCCAATGTTGCACGGCGAATTACCAACACCTGGTTGCAAGAATATCCAAGATAAATATGGACATAGAGAAGCCGAGGAGGAGAAATTAAAAACCAGATCGGCTATATAACTATCAACAGGAGATTCAGGAATAAAGTCGGAATCTGCAGAACCTATCCAAGTGACGAATTTGGAAGCGATCACATACCTGTTTTATATAAGCTTATAAGGAAACTACAGGAACTGAGGAGGTCTAAAATTGCCCAAATTGCAATACAACTGATCACTGAACGACCTGAACATGAAGGAGAAATATATGGACAATATACATTTACGTCGGACAAGATTCGATGGAGGGAATTCGAAATGGAAACTTGAAGTAGGTCACATGAAGAGATGCGTTAGTGACATCATTAAATGAGATCATCATGGACAAAGAAAAAAAAGAATGGATGAAATTGAGATTCTTTACATGATGAAAAAGGAGACAAAAGACAATGCCAAGACGCGGAACAGAATCTAGCAAACTGATCAATGAAATAGAAAGAATGGGTATTAGAAATAAAAGAGTTATATCTAAAATAAACAAGGGAACTAACAGGACAGATGACATGTTCATCATCATGCTGCATACAATCCAAGGACGGAACGCTGATATTAGAGAAATAAAATATATTTCAGAGAGGGATAGAATAACCCAGAACACACTTCCACGACGAAAGAGAAAAAGCAGCAATACACAGAAAAGAAATAAGTTTGACCGGTAATGTTAAAAACCGAAGTGGGAACTCACTGGTCAAATTGAACAGAAATAAAGCGACAGAGCCAGATGGAACAGTAATAGAGACAGTGGCAACTTTAGATGATTTCGACATAGACAAGATCACAATAATAATAAATGAAATCTACAACAGTGGTGAAATACCGGAGGACATCAACAAAATTATTCTCTGACTATGTAACCGAATGTGAATTCTATCAAAAAATCAGCCTGATGAGTAATATAACACAAATCATCATCCATATTCTTATAAATAGATTACGCAGCAGAATCAGACCGGAGTCTGGACAAAGAAAATTCTAGTCCGTCAAAGAGACCGGATAAATCTCGTGACGTGTATTCTCAGAATGATATCAAAAAGGGCAAATAAAATGCAAAATATCGTGCACGTGTCATTTATAGATGACGCAAGGCGTTCGATAAAGTACGCCACAAATATCTGTAAAAGCTGCTCAGTCATCAGGTCGTCAGCGAAATAGTTTTAATTCAAAATACAACAGTTAATACTGACCAAATATCGGTCATTGTTGAAAAGTTTGTAGACAAACAGCTCCATTGACATGATTATACTGTTTAAAATATCGATACAGAAATATATGATTCTTATTTTTCCAAGACTTGATAAATAATAATGAATTTCTGAGTGAAGCAGTTAATTATTGAATAACATTTTTCTACTGCTGATATGTATAATACATGTATACTTACAGAGAGGATTTCTTGAGTATCACAAGGAAAGATAAACAAAATGATAATGTTTTAAAGTTTTCAGACGGTTACATCGTAAATGAATTAATGGGAAAAACAGAAAAAAGTCTGTGCCCGTGCATATATATATATATATATATATATATATATATATATATATATAAATTGTTGGAGGTACAAAATCTTAGTATTGCAAGGAAAAAGTATGAATTATTTCTCAAAGGCATTATGGAAACAAAAATAAAAAATAAGAGATGATAACAAACAGACCAACCGGTTTCGTTCCCAAGCTCATCAGGGTCGATAAGGGAACTATTTCTCAATAATTGCAATATAAATAACTCACGCACACATCCTACATACAATTAAAATATTAAAAATGAAAAGATTAATGGTATGAAGGAAAAAAAATACATAAATATTATATATATATATTCTTCTTATTAAGTCAAGATTGAGAAATTTGAGACGTAATTGTAAATTTCTTCAAGCCTGTATAGATAATCATGTTTGTCCCTCCTCTTTCTTGTTTAGAATTAGGAGTGCTAAACTGAATCCAGGTCTACGAATTGAGGGGAGATTTTATGAGGACTCTATTCAATTTTATATATATATATATATATATATATATATATATATATATATATATATATACATTTACGCAAAAGCAGCTGGTTATGAGGCTTCATTCGTCCCTTATCACCTCTCATCAGACTTGGAGCTGGTCGCATTGCATGGATCCATTTATAGAGTGTGATAGCTTGTCCACTCTACCAACCACAATGATGAAGTGCATTATTATGTAAATAATGTACCCTTTATAAATCTTATATGCTTTGTGCGTTTTAGGAGATCCCACAAGTTAGTGTTATATATATATATATATATATATATATATATATACTATCTATAGTTCTCATGTTGTCTGTCTGTGTGTCTGTCGTGGGCGTTGTTACCTCGCCCAGGCCGCATTTCTCACCCGATTTAGATGCGGATTTCACCACAAGTTTGCAAATGGCTGCCGTAAGGACATGTCGGAGCCCTATTTTTGAGTTCGGACTCAGGTTCTTAAAAATCGATAATCGAAAAAATCAGCTTACAGAAGGAAAGGGGAAGCTTTTTCCATACCGCTCCAGTGCATTTTTAGTTTTCGTACACAACGAGGTTGCACCGCTTCAGCTTCGGCATCAACTTCTATTCGCTTTCTTACACATCATTCCTACAACCCTTCAAATGGCTACTACACGACGAACATCCGCACGTCAGCAACTGAAGACCCCTAATACCGTTAACGTTACACATGCAGAACAGGCAACTGCGGAGTAGCCCATAATAACTCCGGTTCCAGATGATCATATAGCGTCTACTTCAAAACTCGGTTTTGCACTCTTCTCCGTGCCGTGGCGATGACTAACCCGGCAGCTCTGCAAACGCTGCAAAAACACCCAGGTGAGGCAACCGTAGCAGGTGATCTAAAAAAGCCTCACCGGCTAAGGGGAAACGGGAGCAGGATTCCATTGAGTGCGCCTCCTTGTGGGAGAAGCGGCTGGTGTCTACTTCAACATCTGCTTTGCACTCTTCTCAGTGCCGTGGCGATGACCGATCCGGCAGCTTTGCTAAGCGTGCCAAAATACATTGGAGAGGCAACCTTAGCAGGCGTTCTAAAAGAGCCTCTTCGGCAAAGAGAAAGCGGGAGGAGGAAACAGAGTTAGAGGCCTCTTTGAGGCTTTCCAGTTAATGTCAACGGAGGCTGTATGTTTTTTTCACATTAAACGCTTGGTCAGCGTAACTACCGTTTGTACTGCAAATCAGTTTACACATATTCGTTGAAAACTAAGAGGAAACTACCTAAACGCTTGCAAGACAACAAAAAAGCGGCTTCATCACAAGCGCTTTTGCGGTCTTGAGAGAGCCCGCATCGAAAAGCTACACTCAATGCACCCGACGCCGCTGCAACTTCCATTCGACAGTCCCAGGAGACCACGGATGAGAAAACCGCACGTAACGCAGCGAAAGCTGCGGCAACGTCCATTCGACGGTCCCAGGAATCCATGGCTGAGAAAACTGCACGCCATGCAGCCGACGCCGCTGCAACTTCTGCTGCAAGGGCGTCGGAATGTTACGCGCAAAAGCGCACAAGGCAGCAACGCGATGCAATTTCAACTTCCGCTGCTAGAACTGTAGAAGGACCTACTGAAAGGCTTGAAAGGTTGCAGACTGTTAACCAACGCCGCCATGCAAAGCGAGGGCTCTGTAGACCACCAAAGTAGTTTTGGATTAAGCTAGCGTTTAACTATGAGCCAGTTTTGAGGCTTTCCGGTCGCAAAGACCTCCAAATAGGATTCATGTCAGTTGTCTGTGGGCATTGCAATGCCAAAAAATAGCCTGGAGTGTCTGCAGGTTTGTGTTGTTCAGACTGTAAGGTACGGAAGCCACCTTTTTAAGAGCTACCTACTCCGTTAAAAGCTCTGTTGGAGGGTTCCAGTCCAGACTCCAAACATTTCCTGGCAAAAAATCAGACAGTACAATTTTGCCTTCCAGTTGACCACTTTTGATGGTAATGCGTTCCTCGAAGTCTGTTAGAATCCCATCTACAAGTTTCAAGATCAGGTTTACCACCGGATTGGGTTTCTTTTGCCGGAAACTGCCACTGATCCGGCCTTTCTTCAAATATACTTCATAGCTGACTACAACTGTCAGGTGTCCGCATGGGCATTATTCCCGAGAATGATACAGACCAGGACAATCATCCTCGCAAGGATATCAGAATGAGTCTCCAACAAGTGCTCCACGAGACAAACAGCTATATCCGCAGTTTTAAGTATGCTCTCGAAAATAACACTTCTTCTGATTTTATTGTAATTGATGCTGACAAACGGCCTCAGGAAGAGCACGAACGTCGTTACAATGCTCTCGCAAGTAACGAAGTTTCCGTTATTGTCAGCGGTGATCAGCACAAAAGAAGTGACATTGTTATCGAATCGCGCGGCAGTGGTGTCCGAAGAATCAGTGAAACGCACCGGTCCTACGAGGCATTGCAATACCCACTTCTCTTCCCTTACGGAGAAGATGGGTACCAATTTGGCATTCTTCACCTTAAGAACAGTGTCTTGCAGGGCTTTCTACGACATGAGGCACCATTCAATCAACATCATCGAAGCCGGCAACTTTTCCATAAATTCATAGTAGACATGGCTTCTAAGATGGAATCCGAAAGACATCAGATTGAATCAGACCAAGTTGCGCTGCGACTCTTACATTCACCTCCGTGGTGCTTTACGAAATGACGCTGACCACACAATATAGGCAAGATGTGTATACTACCTGCAACGTTCACAGGCAGTCTACAATAGATGCACGCGAGGATGTAAGACGCGATGACATACGCTTGTAAGTACGTCCGACCAGACTTATTCATAACTTTCATGTGTAACCCAAAATGGTACGCAATTGCTAAAGAACTTATGCCAGGGCAATCGGCCTACGACCGTCCAGACCTCATTGGGCGCGTTTACCATCTGAAGTTGGGAAAGCTAATGGATGTGATTACAAAGGGCCAGGTTTTGGGGGCTGGTTGCTGTCGCACGCACACTATTGAGTGTCAGAAATGCGGCCTGCCTCACGCACATATAATAATTTGGCTGTATGACAAGATTGAGGCCACAGAAATCGGTCATCTTATTTCTGCTGAAATTCCTGATCCGTCGGCTGACCCTGAATTGTACGAAACAGTGACAACCAACATGATTCATGGTCCCTGCGGGTCGCATTACAATTAAACTAGCTGTCATAACAGCGACGGAAAATGCACCCGGCAGTACCCACGAGATTTTATGAGCGAAACCATTAAAGGGAGCGATGGTTATCCACTCTGCCGACGAACGAGTCCCGTTGAGGGAGGTTTTACAGCCGTGGTAAAGGGCCACCAAGTGGATAACAGATGGGTAGTGCCAAATTTTCCCTTGCTAGCAAAAGCCTTCAATGCGCACATCAATGTCGAATATTGACATTAAGTTCACTCCATCAAGTATGTATGCAAGTACATCAACAAAGGTACTGATGCTGCAAAGTTTGGTATTAGGCAGGAAGGTTCCGTAGACGAAATCAAGGACTTCCTTGCAGGGCGAGTCATTAGGAGCACAGAGGTCCCTTGGCACATATTCAGTTTCCCCATCCACGAACGCTTCCCAGCTATCGTCCCGCTTCTTGTGCACGACGAACTTCGTTATTTTTCTGCGGATAAAGCAATGGATGTGGCTGTGCGTACCGAAGACACAGCGCTTACAGCGTTCTTCACACTTTGTCGACACGGACTCTACTGTACCCAGACGTGCCTTCATACTACGTGTGGACAGAAAAGAACACCTGGGCTCAGCGGAAGTGCGGGGCCAACGTCGAGGGCTATCCAAGCGTCAGAAAAGACGCCACACTCGGAAGGGTTTTCACGGTCGACCATCACGACAGGAATGTTCTAACTTCCGACTCCTTTTGCAAGAAGTTAGTGGTCCAACGAGCTAAAATAACTTACGCACAGTTAAAGGAGATTTATGTGACACTTTTCGTGAGGCCTAACTCCGTCTCGGCACTTTGGAAGACGACAGCAAGTGGGATGACACAATGGCTCAGGGAGCTCTTTTCAAAATGCCCTCTGCTTTGCGCCACCTCTTCACCATAATCTTACAAATGTGAGAACCCAGTGATCCCAAATCACTTTGGGACAAATACAAGGACTTTTTGTCCGAAGACATACTCAGACAAGCGCAACTGCTGTGTCCAACAATGGCTCTTACATTCAACGATGAAATTTACAACAGGGCGCTTATAATCATTGGAAACCTTTTTGTTGAAATGGGGTGTGGGAATCTCTCGCCGCTATTGGGCTTCCAACGCCAGATCCTGTGGCTTCCTCCAGTCTCTCACTTGAGATTGTGCGGGAGACACCCTACTCTGTTGAGGAGCTCAACGCCTATGTCACAACAAATGAGCCAAAACTTCTCATAGACCAAAGGGCCGCTTACGATGCGTTTCTTGCATCCTCCAGGCAGGATACAGGATCAATTTTCGTCCTGGACGCACCTAGAAAAACGTTCGTAACAAAACTGCTTCTTTCAGAAATTCGGCGCCATGTCCAAGTGGCGCTAGCAGTAGTGTCTTCAGGCGTTGATGCCACATTACTACCGGGTGGCCGAACAGTGTACTCAACGTTTAAACTTCCGCTTGACCTGATTAAGGCAGAAACAACTGTATGCAGTGTGACGTCACGTGCCCCCCAGGCTCTGATATCCTGGTCACGGCACCAGTTGTGACGTCGTCCCCCGGTCGCAGCGTCGACTGTGTCGTTCGATCCCGGTCGCGGCGCCAATTTAGACGTCACGTGCTCCCCAGGCTCTGATATCCTGGTCACGGACAGCACCAACTCAGACGTCTTTGCCGCGGCGTCAGCTGTTCGCTCCTCGCTGATCCAAACGTGAAGTTCTAATACTTTGGTTTGATTGATACCAGCCTCGCCGTTCCTAACCCCTTCCAACGCCTGGTTACCAGGTAACTGCACTGATCTCCAGTCTGCCTACCCACGTTGTGAATTGATCTTAGACAGACGAGATCAAACAGGGGTTGGGGCCGTAATGCAAGTTGAGTCTAACGGGGTGATAACACACAATTATGTATAAAAGAAAATAAAATAAAAACTCACAATGTCCAACGTATCAAGAAAAAGGTAACAAACTTTTTATGTCTAATTGCTCGGTACATAGGACTATGTCTACTTCCTGACCCGTTCTGTGGATTGTGGCACGACGCTTTTACTAGGCAACATTAAGGCTTCAAGTTGTCTGCTCTCTAAGAAATTTTTGTTTCTGTGTGTCTTTGGACGAAAGTCGAAAAAAAACTTATTTCTGTGGTCTGATTCTAAGTCGCTCTTCAAACTACTTGTTCTTGGTTGAAGAAGAGTCCAGAAGTGTGCGTGAATCATAGTCAGCTATCTTGACGCGGTTTCAACACTGGGCGCTCATCTCTGCTTGTCGTCCAAGGTTCAAAACTTCTTGTCAGGGTCCGCAGCTCAACTCTCTTCTCTTCAGAGTCTGAATTACTGGTCACTCATCTCCGCCGTCGGTGCGCGAACTAACTTCTTCTCTTCGGCTTGGGTCGGACGAACTTCTTCACTTAGGCCAAACGAACTGGCCTCTCTTGCCCGCAAAGGGGAGAACGAACCTGGCCGTCGTCCGCGGCTCAAACTGATTTCTGTCGGTTGGGGTCTCGCTTTTATTGACGCAGTCAAAACTGGAATGGGTCTGTCGGCGCCAGGGGTTTTCGATAATTCTAAATACGTATCCACCCTTCTTATTTCTGGTTAGGGATTTTCCATTTCGGTAACTCCTCACTCCCCACTTCCTTACTGTGCCTCTGAGGGGCTTATACCCGCTTCCCCGCTTCTTCGTATCGGCTCCTTACACTTACACTTCTGACAGAGGCGTCGACCGATTCTCCTCGTGCGTCACGTGACCGCTCTCGGCCAATGAGGTCCTGGTCGGGTATCTTTCCTCCTCCTTCGTGTGTCATGTGATCTTATTTAGCCAATGACGTCTTTAGTCGGGCGTGGACAATCCGTGGCTTTGTTTTGTGAAAGAAACACCTGGCTTAAAAAACAAAAAAATTAATTTAAATCGCCCTTATCATGAGCGACTGAGATGACACCTTCGGCTTTTTAACACGTGGTATTTGTCAAGCAGTTTATCGCTAATTGGATATGATCTAAGAAAGGGATTTCTCAGACCCGTTGGCGTTTTTGAACGAAATAAAAATATTTCATTTTCCTCAGCCCGAAGGTCCGATAATAAAAATTTTTATTATCTCAAAAAAAAAAAAATTTCAGCGACATCATCTTGTGTGGCTTTTTCCAATTCTGGAGACTGTCTATGTTTTCGTATTAATGGTTTGCCTTCATATCCTTAGATACACTTCCCCACCCACTTAGACCTTTACTATCATTCCAATGACACACTTTCCACTTGTTACTTATCAATATTTTCATTGTCCCTAAACTTCGTTCCTTCTTTTCTTTCTTTTCCCTTGGATGACAACCAATTGATAACAACTTCCATTTTCCGCGGATCTCGGTCAGATGCTTGACCTGAATATTTTTCGACACCTGCTATCTGTTAGCAGTGCGTGTGTGTGCTCGCCTATGACCTGTTTTAGTATTATTTTTTCTTTCTTTCTTCTTCGTTTTCTCTTTCCTTCTTCCAGATCGCTTGAATGTAAAGAAATAATTATTCTTAAAACCTAAAATATTTTTCGGCCCTAAATAATTATTAAATGGTTGATAAACCGTAAAAAAAATTAAATCATATATCTATGAATATTTCTCTCAGCTCGTCAGGTATGCATGGTGCCACAGCAGTATACCCAAGCAATCAGGTCTGGCGGAGGTACTCAGGCGATGTAAGCTCATCGTTTGAAATGAGTGCACTGTTAGTCCCAAAACTGCACTCGAGGCTGAAAACCACTCTCTGAAGGATATTCGAAACTCCGATGACTTTATGGCAGGTATAACTGCCCTTCTATCCGGTGACTTTCGCCAGACCCTCCCTGTTGTACCTAAGGGGAGAAGGACCGACGCTATTCGAGCGTGCTTGAAATCGTCACAACTTTGGCCCACTGTTAAGACCATTACACCTTACCACCAACATGCGTGCCCACCTAACTGGCGATTTTGGGTCCGCCGAAATTTTGAATTCATTATTAGCCCTTGGCGGAGGTATTATTCCAGCGGACACTAATGGATCTGTAAACGTCCAAGTGTTGTCTACAGTGGTCACAACGCCAGCAACACTCAGAGAAACAGTTTTTCCTGATGTTCAAACCAACTACAACAATATTTAGTGGCTTGCTGCTAGGGCAATTCTTGTCCCCAAAAACACCACTGTGACAACCCTTAATAGACAGCTTCTGGAAACTGTGACAGGGGTGTTGCACGCTTACAAATCCATTGACAGAACTCGAGACCTCGCTGAAATGGCGAACTTTCCAGTGGAGTTCTTAAACAGCCTCCACCCCGCTGGTCTCCCTCCTCACATTCTGGAACTTAAAGTCGGGATCCCGGTTATGTTACTTAGAAACCTACGTCCACCGAAACTCTGTAATGGGACCAGGATGGTTATTCAGGCCCTACACCCAAAAATTATAATTGGCTGCGGTAAAGGGGAGCAAGTGCTTATCCCAAGAATGCATTTGTATCCATCAGATGCCGACGTTCCCTTCACTTTCCGAAGATCCCAATTCCCAGTCGCACCCTGTTTTGCTATGACAATTAATAAGGCCCAAGGACAAACGTTGTCTGTCACTGGTGTACACTTAGAGGAGCAGTGCTTCTCATACGGCCACCTTTACGTCGCCTGCTCTCGAGTCGGCAAACGCGAGGATGTGTTCCTTTATTCACCCTCGCAAAAAGCTAAAAATGCGTGCGAGACCCCTTCGTGCAGCAAAGAATCGATAAAAAGCTCCGGTTCGACGCTGTCATCAGCTGCCAGTTATTGACTTCTTTTCACGCCCAGGCTGCAATTAACGTCAAATGTCGATTGAACTTCCGACATTTACGGCCTCAATTCGTAACGGAGACAGATTTTCAATTTGGACTCAGGCTTTCAAAATATTGGTACATCGGCTGGTACTCCGGTATTTGGGCGGATTACATTCTAAAATTTCGGGCGTTCTTTACAATTCAACCAGAAATTCCTACGCGGCCCAGTTAGAGGTGCCTTGCATAGAATACCGTGTGACCCCGTCATGACTCAAAAATCGACACAAACCTCCGTGTTGACCATGCCCTCAGCAGTCCATTTACCCCTTCTTTAAACTTTGTTATTTCTCCCAGGCCGCATCCCAGATCCGATTTTTCAATTTATTTCATTGTGTCATGCCGGAGCCCGATTTTTATTTGGGACTCAAACTTTGTAAAAAAAAAACCGATAAACTCACAGGTGATACGGATTTTGGGGTTTTTAACTTGAATGTCTCGCCTGCACTACGCGGCCCCGTACATTTTCACCTCATTTTGGACTCTGTGCAGTTGACTTCGCGTTGTTAAACACTTTTGAGCTCTTTTTATTTGGACTTAAAATCGGATCAACGTATGGTTTCCAAAGTACCGGGTTAACAAAACAAGGGCAACAACAACCCCGCCCAAGTATTATGACCAGTCTCAATATTTCAGGAAACTGGGTTCGGTGTGAAAAAGTATTTGTTGTTAACATTGTTTTTTATTCAGTTTTTCCAGTTACGAGTCCTTTTTTAAAGTTGATCGTTTTGTGTTCATTTTGTTTAGTTCTTTTTTCGTAACAGATTTATTGTTTAGCCTAGAGCTTAGAAAAAATCGCAGTGTGAGATAGGCAAGAAGTAAGGCATGTAGCAACATCAGCACGGCAAAGGGCACCCCTTTAAAGAAAAGGAATGGCACAAATACTTCAAGTCTAAGATT